AATTAAACAATTGGTTAATTTAATATTGTTTGTGTTCTTCAACGAATTCTCATTAATGATTTTGGCGATGTCCATAATCCTTCTTGTTCTCCAAGGAAATGGTCATAGCTGAAATTAAATAATRTTATGTATTTATTGATGAAAAAGATAGAAATTAATAAATATCGTAAATAATCATAACCATAAAAATAATTTAGGGCCATAATGCTGATTTTTACCTTAGCCTCTGTTTTGTTGGTGCTGTAATGTATAAATTAATACCAATAATATAACTGATTATTTTATTAACATTTTATCTGAGCTTACATTATATGAAATATTTAAAGGAATGAAAAAAAGTATTAAAATATTAGTTGTTAATAGAAGTATGTTACAATATAAAAAATTACCTCGTGCAACAAAAGCTTTTTTATGTACCGTACTTACCGTATATTAACGGTTTAATTTTGCACTGGGCGCCAAATCTTATAACGGCACAGCCTGCAGGTTACATGCATTTATATCATTCACCAAACTATCTATTTTATCTATAATTAAATTGAATTGTGCATGCTAAATGCGCTGCTGTCTCGTAAAAATGAACTCGTTGGTATTTAGTAAATAATAATAATCCTTTTATTTCTGTGTAAATATAATATAATGGGTACAAAAATGAGGAATCGGGGACCGATGGCGTAGCGGTCTTCGAAACCTTGAACAAACATAGGAACAACGTGTTTCAATACATAATAAATACTAGCTTGTAGTATGTACATAAATTGGGTGGGGAACGAGATCTGATCACGTCGGGGCCGCTTATGAAAGTGGCATCCGTTCCGTGAGTCTCATTCGGATAAGTGTGACCTAAACAATATAGAGGTTGTCCTGAAAAGRACAATTTTGGTTCCACGAAGACTATATTATAGTCCTAATCGGCGTGGAGTATTCGTCGGTTGGTCATTGAGTCGACTTCAGGGTTGTGTGTCGCTGGTGTGCGACTGCAGGCGATCGTCGGGATTGGGCATCAGAAACGATAACGTGCAGCAAGCCTGTAATTAAGTGGATCGGTCGTAAAATGGCCGTCATATTATATGCCACTTGGTGACAATAATATGATAATGCAGTCGAGTCTCGATAACTTGAATTTCAAGGGACATAAAAATTAATTCGACTTATGTATTTTTCGAGTTACATAACTCGAATTTTTTTAAAAATACGAAAAAATTCGAGTTAGAAATTTTTTTTTTTWAWTTTTTTTTATTAGAAGTATTATATGTATATTTATAAACTATAATTAAAATAAAAAAATTAAATTTTAAAACGCATTTCCTTATTTATTAATTAAAAATTTATTAAAAGATTACATTTTTCATCAGATCAGATTGATCTACTATAAGTTTCCAATCGGAACCTCCATCGTCGCTTTCTAAATGAGTATATTTGATTTCTTTTTCCTTAGTTGAAATTCCAGATTTAATAAAACAATTGTATTTTTCTCGACATTTTCCCATGCTTTATAACACATTCGCATAGTTTGTAACAAGTTTATCGAAAAAGATCTACCTTCATCGATATCAATATATCATTAACCATTTTGCGAATAACTTCTTTACGATATAATATTTTAAAGTTCTGTATTATACCTTGGTCCATTGGCTGAAGTTGTGAAGTCGTATTTGGTGGAAGAAATTCTACTTCGATAGAATTGAATTTCTTTTTTGTATTATGAGCAGTACAATTGTCAATTAAGATAGGAGTACTTTTTTCCCTTCTAAACTCATTTTTTTAATCAAAATTAGACAGCCATTTTTCAAACAATGCACTCGTCATCCACGCTTTTTTATTTGATTCATAATCTAATGGATATGTTTAAATACCTTTGAAACACCTAGGTTTTGCCGATTTTCCAATTAATATAGTGTTTTAATTTTATCTGTGCCAGTCATATTTGATCCTAAAAGAATTGTAACTCTTTCTTTACTGTTTTTTCCCCCTGCACAGTTCTCTCCTTTTAAAACAAATGTTTGACTCGGTAAACATTTATAAAATATACCTGTTTCGTCAACATTATAAACGTCATCGGGGGAATATTGATTTATAATTGGTAGGTATTTTACTAACCAGTCAGAACATATTGATTGGTCAACTGAAGCGTTTTCACCACATATTTTACGAAAAMCGACGTTATTCCTAATTTTCCAGTTGCTTAACCAACCTTGACTAGCTTTAAATTGTTTATGGCCGAGTTTAGTAGCAAAAAATTCGGCCTTCTCCTTTAAAATTGGTCCATTTATTGGAATATTTAAATCTCTACATTGAATAAACCAATTGAGTAAACTAACCTCTACATCGGAATACTCACAAATCTTCATTCTTTTCATGGACCCTTTATTAGTTTCATATTTTTGTAAAATATCGTCTTTATTTTTCAGAATAGTTGAAAGTGTACTGGGTGGAATATTAAATTGCTTGGAAATTTCATTTTTTTGTTTACCACTTTTTGTCCCCTCACTTATAGGTAATGTTCACTTTTTCAGCAATTGTTAATGTAACCAATTTACGTTTAAGAGACATAACTACAAATTGTACACGCTACACAGCGAARATATACGGCAACTGCCGATTATTTTACAGCACAACAGTTGTACATAGGATAATATTTCATTTGTACATTTGTGATTGTAAACCGGTTATTCTAACGATAAAATGTAAGAAATGACTTCGAGTTATCTATGCTCAACTATTTTTATATTTGACTTATCGCGACAAACATTGCATTGAGTGTATAGGAATTTCCTAGGGACAAAAAAAAAATTCGAGTTATCGAGGTTCGAGTTATCGAGACTCGACTGTATATAACAATCGGGATACGCTTAAGGTATGCCGCTGGTGGCACCTGATTGTACTATTATGTTTTGACAGTCGAGGGTTAGGATGAAGACTGATTTAAGTTTTGTAGCTGCACCGTTATATATAATGCATTTATGGGGAATTCCGGTGCCGGTTGGTTGCGAGTTTATTAAGAGTGACGAGAGAATGTCGCACTTTTGCAGTGGTGCGGGTTACTTGATTGGTACGTGCGTTTTTCCGCAGCCTCTTGTAACTTATTTCTTTACAAATCACCTTCGTCAGTCAAGTTTCCCTGACAAAAGTGTGAAATTAAATTGTCAACGTGTGGTTTCGTACAGTTGTTGGTCTTGAAAAAGACCTTTTTACGCGGTCGTGTGTATGTGCGCCGTTATAACTTTCATTTTCGCAAAAATGTCTCAATACCCAGATGGCAAGCATATTTTTGGCGTCCTTTTTTGAAGAACCTACATAAAAAAGCAACGATAAAAGTGATAAGTGATTATTGTTGTAACAATTTTAAATATTAATACTTTAATTTTTTTTTTTCTAGCATTTTTTCATTAGCTATTCGTAAATACTATGATAGCTCAACATTTACAATTCTATCGATGAAACAGAATACATTACAATTATGGTTTTAAACAAGATAACATAATAATCATATAGAAGAAAAATATACATAATAGCAGCGATAC